CTGGACGGGTGATTTACCATCTCTGTCAAAGATGATTGCAGCGGTGAGATTTGAACCCATATCCCTGAAGAGACTGGAGCCTTAATCCAGCGCGGGCCACCGCTCAGCCACACTGTCCTATATGATCTCAGAGTGTATCCCACTAAGCATAAACTGACATGATTTTTTTCCCCTTATCCCACCCATTGTAATCCTTTTTAGTTTTTTTCCCCTAACCTCGCGGTGCCGAGCAAGGCCTCGGGACACTGCGTCCTCCATGTATAATGTCTGTTTTTTTCCTTATCTTAGACAGGCTGTACCCAATCAAAAATTTCACCCCGCTTTCAGACAAATAAAGTAACCATTGAACCAGTAGAATTTTCTGCAAATGAAATATCATAAAACAAAAGACCCCGCACCAATCGTACCATATCCTCCACCCAACCCCCAACTTTTTCTTTAACCAAAAAAAGGCCAAACTGCTCATAAATAAGAAGCCTATAAATTATAATCTTCTCTTCAGAGCAATCCTATTATTTTTCTCAGACAAACTGAAAACAAAAAAACTAGAGGGGTATGATTCATTTTTTAGCTCAACCATATATTCTAACCATAAACTTGTGCATTAAATTTGTTAAATTATAAAGAATGCAAAGAAAAAACAACCTCCAAGCACGGAGTAAACTGAGCCTAAAACAGACGTTAGTTGTGTGCTGCTGCTTGGCACCAGAGCAAGGACTGTTTGTACCAAAGTGAGGACACATTGCTCGTCTACACTTCTTTTTTTCTTCTAACAGTTTAGAACGAAGGTGTGAACAGAGTTCAGGTTAAGGTTATGAATGCACTCAAAATGGCTTGTTAGGGTTATTATCAGACATAGAAAAGGTTGAAAACAATAGAAAATCAATTATAGTTATGGGGACGTGGTCATCACTATATATATAGCAAGACGATAATGTATGTGTATTTATCTCTGTTCATATCCTCTATTCGTGCTAATTGTAGCCACTACCACCAAACACACAGACACCCACAGTCTTATTGCTCATATTTTCCATTCTAAAATAAATACTCTGAGCATAGCTAAAGCTTGAAGTCAGTGGGGCTATTAAAACACACACAATAAGAGGCACACTTACAGCCGAGTCGTTCCCTCAGCTGCAGTCTGCGAGTCCAATTTTTTAATTTGATCCTGCAATTGTTTCCTGCTTCTATTTTGCTGCAAGTTCAGGTTGTTGTGGTTTTTAGGGTGTTCTGGACTCTGTTATTAGCCTGAATGGAGAATCAGAGGTTTGAGGGATTATTAAGAGGAAGTGTTGGTTCCACAAAGTTTATAATTAGCTGCAGGGACACATGGTGGTTTATGAGACTTTGGCCAGGAGACAACGTAGGAGTCTGGATGTTTGTTTCTAAGAATGTAATCTTCTAAATGTTTAGCACAGGATTAAGCCCGTCATTAAATCTCTGGCCTTAAATCCTGTAGGAAAATCATGCATCATTTTCACCATCTGGAGGGTAATTTGTGAAATAATCAGCCGTTATGCTGATGATCTAACTTTTTATTTTTTTAAAGAACATCTTTAGAGGAATACATTTCTTCAGTTTGAGCAATAGGCAGCCTCTCATTCATATCCATTTTTAAAATTGAAAGCGGAAAATTTTGATCCTTTAAAGGTACATTTAGTCACTTGGTATCTGTTATCTGCCCTTTTAGTAATTTAATAAATATTACACCTTAAAAAGTGTTTGTTTTAACCATATTTTAGAATTTTAAGATAGAACTCTCTTCACTTTGTTACCATACAGCTTTAAACTTCTTAGTTATTGTGTGACAAACCAGTGAAGGAAGGATGATGTAAGGGTTTGAGGGTTTTTTTTTCATACTCATGCTTCATGCTCAGGGAATCAGTACTAGTGATAGGCCGACACATCGAACAGCCGATATGTTCTGCTGTAAATTGCTGGTTTTTCCTTTGCATTGCTGCTCCCTCCATTTACTATCCATTATTTTGATTTCTATAAGTTGACACTCTTTTTTTTTTTGTTTTGTTTAAATTTTGATTTGTGTAACATTAGTTATCATTGTGCAATTTTTATAATTTAATGGGTGGAAGAGAAATCAGTATTGGCATTGGTGGCATCTGACAGTTTCAGCTGATCCAAAATGCTGCTGCCAGAGTTCTCACTAGAACTAAGAAAGTAGAGAACATCTGCCTGGTTCTGAAGTCCTTACATTGGCTCCCTGTAGCTCAGAGAATGGACTTTTAAAATCCTTATGTTAATCTATAAATCTCTGAATGGATCAACACCTCAATATATAACAGATCTGTTGTCAGTGTATGCATCTCCCAGACCACTCAGGTCTTCTAGTTCAACCCTGCTCTTTACACCCAGAACTAGAACCAAACATGGAGAAGCAGCATTTAGTTCCTATGCTCCACTTTTCCAGAAAAAAACTCCCAGAAGACTGTAAAAGTGCAAAAGTTTGTAAAAATAAAAACTTCTGTTTAGGTTTAAGTTTGTGGTCCAACTGTTTTATTTGGTTTACTATCTGCTTTTATCTTGTTTTATCTTTACCTGCTTTTTTTCTGCTTTTAGTTTTGCTCTATTTTACTGTTTAATGTATGTAAAGCACTTTGAATTGTCTTTATACTGAATTGTGCTATACAGATAAACTTGCCTTGCCTCTACCACCTTTCTAGTCATTCATGTTTGCAAAAGAGCTCAAAATAATTTAGTCTTACTTTCATCCATCTGTTCATCAAATGTGTCCAGCTTCTCTGTCCCTGCTGTAGAAAAGCACATCAATTCTATCCTAACAACAAAGATGCAACTATAAAGGTTCAAATCGGAGCCAGGCAAGCTCAACATCCAGCATCTATTTTCACATCTTTTTCTTATTGCATTTGTTTTTTAACTGCATTCTCTTCTCTATTATGGTCTTCCAAGTATTTAAGATGTTTTTTATTTAAACTATGAAAAAAATATAGTGATGTTAAAGTAAAACTATATTTGGCAGACTTTCGTCCTAATAGTGTTTACTTAGTTCTTTTTTGGACCTGATAAGAATTTTTGCACCAGTTTTGGTCAGCAGGCAAAAACATTCTTGTGAATATTGTACGTATTATATACCGTATAAACTTTTCTGACACTAATTGCCTAAGCATAGCCTTGCTATTACTATTAACAGTATAAGTAAGGCTTTATGCTAACATATCTAAACATTTGGCAGTGAAATCTGTTCTATAGCTTTAGCTCCTACCTCAGTGAACAGCAACATTCATATTGTATTCTGAAGGCTACTTGTGTCTTATCCCTCTTGGTAAAAAATATTTTGTTGCACTTTTTCATTTTGGATCTCTGGAGACAATATCTCAGTCTCAAAGCAAGAAACCCATGGGTTATTAATTCAAAACCAAATTTTCCAAATTCAATTCCATTTATTTATATAGCGCCAATTCACAACACATGTCATCTCAAGGCACTTTACAGTTCACCAGATCATAAAGTCAAATAAAACTAATAAATTCAGTTAGGACTCCATTTTATTTTCAGTAGGGTAGAACACTGTTATGTACCTTGGATTGTTTCTGTAATGAAACACAGTTTAGGATCATAGGAGAAAAAAAATACTGCCAGGACCTTAACTGCCGACATGGAAATGTTACTGTTACTGTTTGTAAAGAAATTTATTTAAAATTTTCCTGCTTCTTTAAAGCAGTGATTCCCAACCGGGGGTACTCGTACCTCTAGTGGTCCGTGGTTGTATTGCAAGGGGTACATGAAAATATTTTATTTTTTAGGTAGTAAAATAAAATAGGGCTGGGCTCTTTTTTGCTCTGTCAGGACCCAATTGAAAAATAAGACAAGCCTTTATCAACCAAAAAGTAAATTTGTCTTATATGTTTGAGTTCATCTGCAGCTTTGACAGACATCCAAACCAAGCAGAGGAACAGGCTGGATATAGAGAACAGCCTGGGATCAGCTCTTCTTCACACTGAGCTATCAGAGCTCAATAAAGCAGCTCAGCTGTCTTAATGAAAACAAAGTCAAACTAATTAATTCAGTCTGACTATAATTTCTGTTCTGTATTTTGTTCCCAATTCATCAAATTTAAATGTGATTATAAGGGAGTTACTCAGACAAACTCCATTTTTATAAATACAGGTTTATAATATTATTTTATTTTTTATTTATTTCGATTTCTTATTAACTTCCAGGCAAAATATTTATGTTGTTTTTTATTTGAGATGGAAAAGGGTACACAAGTCAAAAAAGAGGTTGGGTAACACTGCTTTAAAGCACTGAATTGCAATGAACCTACAAGTCTCCTCTGGTCATAAGGGACATGTTTACTTGTTTAACAAGTAAAAGAAAGGAAAAAAAATTTTTTTGCTTTGTAATTGTTCAAAATATATATTATTCCACTTTTTTTATTTAATGTGATAAATCGATTTTCATGGTAATATTTTAATGTTTTTGTCTTAGATAAATAGACAGATTCACACACTTTTTTACAAAGAGTTTCATACTTCTCAGACTCATCTTTCCATAGTCCTTGGTCTTTTATATCAATATTTTATTAAGTATTCATAGCCTATATTTATACAGAGTCAGATTTTAGTATGGAACCTGGAAGCTTTAACAGAAGGGAGAAAATAAGGAATGACATGAGTGAGGAGAGATGGATGGAAAATAAAGATGAAAAGGGAAGGAAAGACCTAAGAAAGGAAGGAAAGAATACCATCATGACTCAATGAAGGAGTTCAGGGAAGGATGGAGAGGTTTAGCAAAACAAAAATCAGTAAAAAAGGGACGTGAAAACTTTTAGAAAACATAGTACAAAATACAAGCTTGAAATACATGCTTTTCCACACTCCTCATTTCCCATACTTATCCACACCTAGAAAATACCAAAATAAAGTGCCATACTTTCTCAGACTGGGTAGGTAATCTGTGCATATCTATATTTCTGAGTTAAATCATTGGGTTTGACTCTGTATCCCTGTGTTTCTTACCAGTGATCCGTGCTAAGGTGGTCGGGGTAAGAGAGGTGGATTCTGGGAATGATATCTATGGAAATCCCATCAAGAGGATCCAGTATGATGTCAAACAAATAAAGGTCTGACTTGCTCTACAATGTAGCAAATATTTGCAGAAGAAAAGGTTGAAGTACTCGTCTCTTGATTCCTTTCTCTAATCTAATTATGCTTCCTTCTGTTTTAGATGTTTAAAGGACCTGACCAGGACATTGAGGCGGTTTTCACTGCACCAGTTTCTGCTGTCTGTGGTGTTACCCTTGATGCCACTGGGAAGAAGGAGTACCTAATCTCAGGTTCGTGCACGTAATTAGTGTTGATGCCTTTTTTATGCTGATTAGATGCTATACAACTAGCGTGCCAATAAGCACATACTGAAAGAAGGTAGTACCACCTCAACTTTAGACTGGATCTGTGCCTTTTAAAGTGATAGAGATAACTAAACCTTGTAACATATTTTGTGTTTTTCTTGTTTGCAGCTTTAATGTTAACATATGAACATGCAGGTGTGCAAAACCAGAAAAAATGCAGGGTAGATAAAGACTAGTGAGCATGCTGGGGGAGGAAACTGTTTATGCCATTATAGATAATGAGACGTTCCTGTCTAAACCCTGTGGAGACTGATCTTCTACCGTGGGACACTTGAGTCTTTAAGGGCCTTTTGAGTAGCTGTCTATAATGCAGTGTCTCTTCTGATAGTTTAACAACTAGAATCAGGTGTAATTATTGTTTCTATATTAATACACAGGGAAGCTTTAAGGGGTAAATGCCTCTTTCTAGAAATGGCACCCTGGAAATCCACAGGGTATAATATTAAGCCCTCTTATTTTTACCCGTCTGAAGTCACATTATGTTTTGCTTTCAGTCTTATTTTCTCTTAGCAACTGCTGTGTTTTCATAGAACATATTTTACTCGACAGGCAAATCAGAGCGTGTGACTCTTTCCTTTTGTCAATGTTTTCTAATGAAAGACCAATCTATTCTTGTAATTATTGGGGATGTAATGATGAGCTCTGCTTACATAGAGATTTAACTGTGATAAGTTCCTCATGCTTGCTATTGAGTTCTGTCTGTAGACCGAAACAAGATCTGTAACAAGCATCACCTCTCTCTACAAAGAGAGCGGAGTTGCAGCTATAGTGCTGGTAGTGACACACATCTTGTTTTGGTGTAGAGATAGAAATAAAAAGCCAAACCTCGTGGTAAAATTTCATTTATCGCTCCTTTAGATTAGCAAAACCGTTCAAAGGTTTGACTGATGTTCACCCTTGTTTTCCTTCATTTTTGAGACTAGAACAAAATATTTTTGGCCTGTCAAAATTTATAAAACAACTATTTATATACATTTGTGTTCAGTAAAATTTAATATTTTTGATTAATATTTTTGATAAAAAAAATGTAATAAAAAAAAGAAAATATCATTATTTTACAACAATAATAATAAGCTTCTAGCTGACTAACTCTGAGACTGACTCACACTCATCATATGTCCAGATCTTCATCTGAAACTCCTTTACAAGACTGTTTCCTTAATTCTAATATCCACTGACCACAGCTCCAACACTATGCCAAAAAGCACTCAGATAGCCAAAATGACCAACTTTGTGTTTTGGTGGGCCTTTTTTCAACAACACATGTAGCAGCACCGAGTGAAGCATTTCTAATATAAGCCAACAAGACATTCAATAAGCCAAAGCCAAACGTATTAGCAAAACTCTGATCATTTGCAACTGACCACTCAAAAACGGCCTCCAAAAAACACTAGCAAAACCAAGCAAAGAAAATAAGATCTATCCCACTGTTGCTGTTATTTATATTTTCATCCCAATACAAATCAGCTTCTGGAATGTATCCAACACAGAGGACCAGATGGAGCTAATAAGAAAATAAAAAGCATAGAGAGCATAAAGTTAAGGGTTGAACTTACAAATACTGGGAATAGATGGATAGTATGAAGCAGATTGATGAAAAGTGTTCCCTATGTCCTCCAGCAATCTAAGCCTATAGCAGCATAATGAAAGAATAGATCAGAATAACCTGAACCACTATAGCTTTAAGCTTTATCAAAAAAGGTTTTATCAATGTTAACAAATACTCTCAATGCAATCTGATAAATTTCGAGCTACTAAGAAAAGAAGAAAAACTGTCAAATATTGCTAGATAACCAAAGCTTATGGAAACGTGCCAAAAGAAGTACAACTGAAAGTGCAGAGAATTATGGCACTGTAAAATGTTGACTTTGGTTGGATGAATGCAAATTAATGGCCACACTTTTCAGATTTAGTATTATTTATAGAAAATACCTTTCCTTTTAGTTATAAACTCCTGTTTATTTACGCAAATCACTAAAAATGCACAGAACTTTGTAGTTATACTCTGAGAAAGTTTAAGGAGCCTGAAAAAATGTTCCCATACTGTAATGCCTTCATGTTCAGAGAGGTTGGTGTCATGAATTAGAGGAACAACAGCATCTGAATAAGACAGCGAACCGAGCAGAGGAGACCTAGAAGACCGTGACGTTATTCGTGCTCTGGTTTCTCCATCACACACAGAGATGCACCCGCAATCATCCGTCCCCCTCTAATTACATGGAGTTGTAAGAGGAGGAACTGCTAAAGTCAGCGTTTCCTTCCAACGTCTCTAACAGTAGCAAAGAAAGTTGCTTTTCTGCTGAGAGGGGCATCTTTGAAAAGCTATTCATCTTATTTTGGTTGAAGGGTCAAAAGTTGGAAGATTTTCAGCAGAATGTGAGTCAGCCTTGTGTGCAGACACACAAGGTGAAGCTTTCAGCAAGTTGAGATGTGCTTTCCTCATATATTGTCCAAGGGGCGTGCATCTCAGCAGATCCGTAAACTCTGCTCGACATTTCTTGTTTTGTCTAGTGCCTCTTGTGTGGGCAGCACAGACACTGGTAAAGGTGCTTATTTAGGTGCCTGCAGGCATCAGTCTGGAAAGCAGCAGCTTCTTTATCTGTTATATAAACTAATCACTTATCTGATGTTCATCCAATGGGAACATCCAGCGCTCTTCTGCCTAAACTTGTCTAAAATGTTCTTTCACATCTGCTGTTTTGATGCCCCTTGCCACGATTCGTTCTTTTCCAGGCAAGGCCGAGACAGGCGGACGCATGCACGTGACCCTCTGTGATTACATCATGCTCTGGGACTCCTTGAGCGCCACCCAGAAAAAGAGCCTCAGCCAGCGCTACCAGATGGGCTGTGACTGCAAGGTAAGCCGGCAGAGGACCATCTGTGTCTCTTTAATTCCCAGCATGACTAAACAAAACAGCAAAAAAGGCAGCAGGTATTTTGTTCCTGCTGGAAAAACCCAGACACAACTGAGCAGTGCGAAAACAGAACATGCATCATAACAACAAACAATTAATTTCAAAGTTATGATTGAATACAATTGGTGTTGATTTATTATTTTTTAAAGGAGTAGATTCTTTTGAAACCCTCCAGAAAAATTGTGTGAGGATTAATGTAGTCTCTTTGGTGCCCTAATGTACAGAAAAAAATAAAACCAAGACTAGCAAACACTAAAATGAGACTAACAAGAAAACCTGCAAATTAGAATTGCAGAGAAGGTTGAGGGCGACAAAATTGAGAAGGTACGATTATGAAAATAAATACTTACACAAAGTTAACACACAAAATGCATGCAACAAATAGCAAAAACCTTTAAAAAAAAAAAAAAAAAGCTCTCAATAACTAGCTCCAGACCACCAGGGGGAGACAATCGTCAACTTATAAATAGTAGTAGTAAAGTAACGAATTGGATGTTCAGAGAGAATGGTGTTTAAAAAAAGATTCATAAGAAAACTCACCTTTACTAATCTTCACATCAGGTGTTCTCTGGTTGAGATCTTGTTAATGTTTTTGAAGAAGACATTCGTTTATAGTAGGCTAATAATTATGGTCTGTGCTTGCGGGAATTTCCATTCTCCTGTTCTGTTTTCTGTGATTGCAATATTTCTTCTTTTCAGTATTTTTTCTTTGCATGTGTGTTTTTTTTTTTTTTGTGCGTGTTGGTCTATTTCTTTTTTTTTGTGTTCACTGGTTTTTTTGTTTAGAACTCTTTTTTGAATCTGCAATGAAATAATCTTTTTTGAATGCCATTTGCACCCCTTGGCCACTGTACTTTAAAAAAAACGCCACAACAAACATTGTTTCTCATAATCTCTGTTAAATGCGGCAACTTTTAAATTCTATTAAAAAAACTCAGATTTGTTTCATTGTAAGTTTCTGTCAATTTGGGTGATTATGTTTTACTGATCATAAAGCATTGCATTTAATTTCTAGGCTCTTGACTATTAGGCCATGAGGAATGGTGCTTGCTTTGACTGTTATCTTGATTAAGTCTGGAAAGAAATGCATTTTCACACTAACTGCATATATATCGTTCTCTAAAACTTATATCTAGAAAATGTTGGAGACCTTTTAGAGGTGTTTATAATAAAAAAAGCAAAATCTCAGGTTTTCTCAGTACATACTTTTCATTTTTTTTGTGTTTCTGCAGATTGTGCGCTGTCCTTCCCTCCCCTGTGAGATCTCTGCTCCAGAGGAGTGTCTGTGGACAGACCTGATGATTGAGAAGCAGGTCCACGGACGCCAGGCTAACCACTATGCCTGCGTCAAGAGAGCGGATGGCTCCTGCTCTTGGTACCGTGGGGTAGCGCCACCTAAGAAGGAGTTTATTGATGCAGAGGACCCTTAAGTCAGCAATCTGACAGAGAAAAAAAAACGGAAACAAGGCAATTGAAATTGAAAAATAACATTAGGCTATTTAAAAACGTTAAGCTATAGTAATAGAAATTAGCTGCTGTTCTGAAAATAACTTTAAGCCTCTTGTTGATGTGACCACTTTATTTCTAAAGTTTCCCATGATTAAAACGTGCAGAGGTTGTCCTTGGATGCAGCATCTTCATGAAAAAAGTAAATGGCACCATCAGATTAAAGGCTGTGTTGGAAATGTTCACTCCCTCTTTATAAAAGGTTCGCTTTCAAGTGTATTTACAGCTTTTTATCTCATAAATGAACCTCAGTAAGATATAGCTGCCCAAATATGAAGTAATGCCCTTATTTTTTTACTGTTTTAGACAAAAACATAATGGAAATTAGGATTATCTGACTTATTTACCAAATTACATTCTTGTACTGAAATCAGAGTACCCATTAAAAGGCAATTTCTATATTCCTCAATTCCAAATATTACCCTTAAAAGCAGTTTAGCATGTCATAGAAAAAAGTCATTTTGTGAGATAACGAATGTTTAGACTTAATAACTTATATTTCAGCACAAATTTAAGACTCTAAATCTGCAGATGATTTCTAGGGCAAATAACTGCTAAGTTAGCAGTAAGTGATGTTAACTCTAATGGCAAATTATTTGCTATTTGTTTCCTCAGTTTTTTAAATGAAATTACTTCATGAAATTCCAAAAACTCAACAAAATTAGAGTCAGCGTGCTATTTTACATTCAAAGCGATAGCTAGCTGTGCCTAATGTTAACAGTTACCATCCTAGCGATAGCAGCTAGCACTAGATTACAATCTAATATCTAATTTTAACGCTAAATGCTTAACATTAACTTTGGTTTTATTTCAAAAGAAAAGGGTTAATGATACTCTAGAAATAAACTTTTAAAAGTTACCAATGTTGTTTTTTCTTAAATCCTGCTAACATTTGAGATTATAATGCTAATGTTCACAGCTAACTTACTCTGTTAGGTAAAACCTTAGTTGCTAACTACTAATTTTTCCTATTGGAGTGTAATTCCCTGTATTTTGCTTTACAAAATGGCTGAAATGCTTATAGTGAACCTTAGAAAGAAAAGAGTGGACAATTTGAACACAAGGATAGACTGGTGGAATGATGGTGCAACTTCCTCCTGAGGCTGGCGTTAGGAGGCAATCAATTCTTGCTGAGATGGAGCTCTCCCTGTCCCAAAAAATAGCTCTTAATCAGGGCAGCAGTGCCCTATGAGTCATTGTTTGCTCTCTCAGACCATCATTTACTCTCCATTTTGTTTCTAATTTTATTACCTCATTCTGTATTTTATTCCAAAGCAAATTTCAAGTTGCCTTTCTTGATTTTAAGATCTAAATGTCTCATTAACACTTTTCTCATTTTCTCACTGTAACTGGTGACTTTAGACACCCAGAACATGCTTCCTTTAAACAGAAAATGTAGTTTAGGATTACCCATCTAAATTAAAGTTAAACTTTCTTTCTTTCTTTCTTTCTTTCTTTCTTTCTTTCTTTCTTTCTTTCTTTCTTTCTTTCTTTCTTTCTTTCTTTCTTTCTTTCTTTCTTT